ACATAAGGACACACAAGCCTTTTTATGCATTAAAAATTAACTACTTCAACCATGAAATTGGGTCCCATTTTGAACCAAATGCAGGCACTCTACTACTCTTCCCTTTACTGAGGGTACACCCTGTTATCTTTAATTCTGCATTTAGGACTCCAAAATTCATGCTATAAAATGAATTTTAGGATATACAGCAATGACTCAAAAGCATTTCTTTCTTCTTTTAATGAGATCTGACTTTCCTTAGCATCTTCAAGCTTCTTCAGAGAGCTAACATGAAAAAAAAAAAAAACAGTAGAGTCTGTCTTGCATTCTAAATTACACAGACTAGGATTGATATATTTTAGATACATTTACTTTTCAGATTTTTGCTTCCAAATAGCAGTCTTCTATATATATATATTAAAAAAAAAAAAAAAAAAAAAAAAGAAGGAAAGAAAGAAGAATCAAGGATTTACTGAAAGTGACAACTGAAAGCAAAATACTTTTAAGAGGAAACCCCCCAGAATTCTGAAAGTGACTGTAGCAGTTTCTGTGATTAATTTATTTCAGGCTGTTTAAATTATAAGTTGTAAACTTGCAGAATTTTGAATGTCTACGGCACAAAGAAAATACTCATTCCAGTCATTAGTACTGCCCTCCAAGCCAGGTTACTCACAATCCAAAGAAAAACCTTACCCAGGATTTTAGCAGAACTGGACAAAGAGTACATTGGTAACCACCAAAAAAAAAAGAATTGACTTTCAATATCAATGTGTTCTCAGAATCTCATATTTTATTAAAAATGAGATATTATTACTACCAGCTAACATTAAAACATTACCAAAAGATTCCATATGTAACATTAAGAGAAACTAAGCACCACAATACCAAAGAGTATTTAAACCCCTACATCTAATAAATGAATGCATGCTGAAATAAGTCTTTTAAATATTTCTAAAATTGAGGGATGGCATTTAGGAAGGAGATAAAATGTTAATGTATTTAACAATACAACTTATATTTAACAATATAGATCTATTGTCAGTATTACCTTAAAACTGTTCCATCTTCCGCAAGTTTCAGGAAGTTTCCTTCTTCAATGTCCAACACCAAGCCTTTGCAACTAAGAATAAATTAATTTTAAGGAAGAAACAAAAAAGTAATGCTTTCAGAGGACTGTCTTCTTATCGCTCAGTGATATGCAGTTAGAGAAACTCTGGTGCTTTTGTAGCTATGATGCTACAGAAAACCAAACAAGTCACAACCCTTCAAATACTTCCATTCTTGAATAATCCTCTTTATACAAAAATGCATATTATTATAATTAGGACTGGATTTTCCTTACATAGCAAAATCCTACAGAATAAATCCAGTTCCATGTCCAGTAAATTTAGGGACTGTTATATAGATTAGTTGGAGGTTTAAGGTCCAAATATATAAAACTATATTTGAAATGTGATATTTAAGTCACTTCTATTAAAGAAATTTTTTTGTGGTAACTCCTCTAATTATTACTTGACTGATTACACCAGTTATTAAAGAAAAGAGGGGTAGAACCTCACTCTAAATGAGGCAACTCAATAAGCTAAGAACACATGAAGCAGAAGCATTGCCACGTTAGCCAGCACAAATAAGGGGAAGAGTTGACATTGTTGGAGACATTGTCAAGAGTTCTAATTCCCCCTAATAAATCTTTATCTTCAAGATTTGCTTAGATTCTTAGAAAAATTAATTCAGAGTTCAGTGGTTAGAATACAAATGAATAAACGAGACTGAGGAAGCAACGACACCTTCATCTTCTATGAGGCACCCACAGGAAAGAATATACGTGCAGATGCCAACATTTCCTGAATGACTCCTGGGCAAGAAGCAATGACACACTTGTTACCAGCACTGTGGACTTGCAGGTCCATGTTAATGAACCTCCCGCTTCAATAAGAGACCAAAACCAAGATATCTAGAGTTGAAAAAAAGGTTTTCTTGCATCATAGCCTCAAAATATGATAAATAGATCCATTGCTTGTCTCATGGAAGTTGAAATCAATCTAATTGGAAACTGTCCGGTCAAATATTGAATTGTAAAAAAACATTACACAAGAATACAAATGTTACTGAAAAAAAATCTGCATGTATCTATATCTAATGATTATTTGGCCTTCAAGTCTCCACCCCCATGGCCTAGATAACAACCTTATAGAGTTAAAGTTCAAGATTCAAGTTAAGTTCTTGCTCAGACACCACTGAGTTCAGAGCAGGAACTTGGGTTTCGGTCTTTTTCATCACAGCTTTGTGCCTGATGTGCCACCCAAGGGCTACCTCCTGGCATGTCAGCTTTCCGTGGCTCCTCAGAAGGCTGATGGGAGTAATCAGCCCTAAACAAACAAAACAGCTTCTGTTAAGATAAAAATTATTAAAATCTGGTGGGTACTGTTGAACAGAATATCAAAGACAAAGATGATACATAAAAGAAGAGAGTGAGACTAACAGGCTTGTGTCCAGACAGCTGGAAGCACAGACAAAGCAAGTTCGGATGTTCAGTTCTCTCTTTGAAATACCATGTTAGATGTATTTCATGACAAATACTTCTTAGAACAAGTATTTGAAACTGTAATTTTGGATTTATCCATTGGACTTGTCAATCATAACATCAACTGCCTAATAAATGAAGCTGTTTTCTGAGATTTGTAAAAAAGTTACAGTATAAAGGAATGACATTATTTTCAGTGTACTCACCAGAAGTCTAAGCTGTCTGGAGCTAGAGTCAGCAAGTCTTCGTCATATCCCTTCTCTGTTACCAGATACTGGGCAAAACTATCATATATTAGCTACAAATGAAAAAACATTGCATTCATTATATCCATTAATTGATCTCAAAGACACTGCTTCCTTGAAAAGGGGCAAGATGCAAGTGTTAATGCCTCCAAAGCGAAACTGAACCATGGAGCTAGGGGCGCTGTCCCACTGCCTCCACTGGGAAATAGTGCCTGAGGTTATTTCTCTCATGGCTGGAACACATACAAGAGTTCTGCTGCAATATGCTCACCCCAACCCAGATTACAATATTCTATTTTACAGTCCCTGTGCGTCAAAACTGTTGGGAAATCAAGATGGTAAGTACCTAAAGGCTGGTCACTATTTCCCCCTCCCCAATCATCCTTTTTGCTTTATTTTTTTTTTTTTCCCAGTTTTAAATGTTGTGGCTACTGAGATTCAACAAGCAACTTCTAAACCAGTAAACATTTATCCTTAGGGGTATTTTAAAAGTATTTGAAGGAATTTATTCTGAAGAAAATAAGCAATTACTGAATAAACTGTTATTTCTAAATTCAAATGGCCTAGCATGACACTCAGCAATTTATTTACGTACTGTGCTGGTAAAGTTTTACAAGAAGCTCTAGAGATGCTGCCATGTCCTTAAAGACTATCCAAAAATAGTAACTGCTCCTTTTTTTTCACGTGGTTCTTTCATTAAAGTTGTTCCCTGGCCTTTTTTCTTTAATTACAACAGATGCTGTTGGAATTAGAATGAATAACGTCTGAGAAAAACAAATTATGAAAGCCAACATTGAAATACTAAGAACTAACTACATCTTCAGCTGGGCCTGTCAACCTTTTAAAGTATTTCTTATTCCCAAGAGATAAGGAGGCACGCAACGGGCATGTGTCAGTCTGTTTGCTGTAAGAAGATGAAGAGTGCACCAAGTTTAGTAAAAGTTTTGGGATTTTTTTCTCCACTTTGTTCACTGGTTGGTTAGCATTTTAAAAGAACTCCTATAGTTACCAATTGTCTAATGTTTGCCTTCATCAAAAAGAATTTGTATCAGTAAGAATGAGCTTGCATATGGCAACAATATGGACGGTAAGCCTAGTGTTACACAGTTTCCACCTAGAAATTTAAGAGCTCATACATTTTATTGTTACTGTTGAACCCTCCTTGGTAAGCAAGATGCCACTCCACTTAAGCTCATACAGAGCTAGGGGAAGCAATGCACCTTTTCAGCACAGGATGCTATTAATAAATGAGACAGCTCATAAACATTTGTTTCCATACCAAATTCTGAAATTATCTTGCAATTAACGTGGGAGTCCTGTGCAGTACAAAATGTACAGTAAGTGAATGGATGCAACGAAAGGGGGACAGTGAGACACCATGAGCATCCGCGACACAAGATAGCTCCAGAAAAGAGTCCTGACATCAACAGAGAAGGACGAGTCAATGTAAGATTACAAGGGAGTTTAAAACCGAAAGTGACAAGGGCGGGAACGCACAGCACGGGCAGCAGTTCCTCTTGAAAGAGACCACAGGGCTAAGTCAGAGGGGCCGCGTGCCTCTAGACTCGGCGTTTTATTGTAAGCACCAGAAAGTTCGCAAAGGTCTCCTGTCCAAAGTGCTGTGGGCTCCTCACTCTGCAGCATCTCTGCATTTAGCGGGCGGGCTCTACCTTTTCCTCAGCACCGCTACGGCCAGAAAAGAAGAACCATTTTCAAGGAAGGAGACATGGCTGTCCCCTCCGCTCGGGTAGAGAGGCCTGCTGAGGAAGCGCCCGGCGAGAGACGCACTCGCAATTCTCTTATCTTCCGTGGATGTCTGAGACAGCCGGCCCCGGGCTAGCTGCCCCCGCCGGAGGGTCCCGGCCCCGCGCCCCGGGACGCGGCGCTTTGCCTTCGGCGGGGCATGCGGCGGGAGCGGGCGGAGCGGGGCCGCTCCCGCCGCTCCCCTCGGCCGCGCCGCCCGCACTCACCCGTGCGCTCTGCGGGAGGTGGTAGCGGCAGAGCGTGTGGTCCAGGTCGAAGCCCACCACGTCGCACTCAGCCAAGGAAAAGTGCTGCTGCATCGCCGAACCGCCGCCGCCGCAGGCGGGCGGAGGAGGAGGAGGAGAAAGAGGCGGGAGGAGGAAGGAGCGCGGGCGGCGCTTCCTGCGGAGCCGCGCCGGGCAGAGCGGAGCGGGGCCCGCGGGGACTCCCTCGGCCCGCTCCGCCCCGCCCCGGCGGGGCCGCCCGCACCTGCGGCACAGCCCCTGGCGAGCCCGGGATGGAGGGGCGGGCGCAGGGAGGATGGCCGGAGGCGTGTCCAAGCGCTCGAATTCGAAAAACATGCTTCCCGCCTCGGCTTTGTGCGCCTGGGAACCCGCGTGGGACCGCGGGGATCCCGCTCGCCTGGCAGACCGCGAACGCGAGCTTCGGGGCGTGTGTGCTGGAACCTGGTGCGCCAGGAGCAGGCGGGGAACAGGAGTCAGCCTTGGTTAGTGACAGGACAGCCGGTGCCACACCGCAAGGGCCCTACCGGCGACTATTAGCTTAAGTAAGTAGAAAAACTCTACTTGCTAATTCCTTATGAACGTTCAGCACGTTTGCGATGACACCAAGCTGTGCGATGCAGTCGACTCGCTGGGGCGAAGGAAAGGGATGTCATCCAGAGGGACCTTGACAGGCTTGAGAGGTGGGACTGTGTGAACATCGTGAAGTTCAGTGAGGACAAGAGCAGGGTCCTGCACCTGGGTCAGGACAATCCCAAGCACAAGTGCAGGCTGAGCAATGAATGGACAGAGAGCAGCCTTGAGTAGAAGGACCTAGGGATATTGGTGGAGGAGAAGCTCAACATGACCCAGCAATGTGCACTGTGTCCTAGGATGCATCAAAAGAAATGTGGGGAGCAGGGCAAGGGAAGGGATTCTGCCCACCTACTCCACTCCTGTTATGTCCAGCTCTGGGGCCCCCAGCATAAGAAAGTGAGTCCTGAGGAGGGTCATGATGATAACCAGAGGACCGGAGCACCTTTCTTATGAAGACAGGCTGAGAGAGCTGGGGTTGTTCAACCTGGAGAAGAGAAGGCTTCAGAGAGACCTGACAGCAGCCTTCCAGTACCTACAGGAACTTATGTGAAAGCTGGAAAGGGATTTTCTACGAAGGCATGTAGTGATAGGACAAGGGCTTTAAACTGAGGGTAGGTTTGGATTAGATGTAGGGAAGAAATTCTTTCCTATAAGGATGATCAGGCGTTGGAACAGGTTGCCCAAAGTAGTTGTAGATGCCTCATCCCGTGAATAGTTGAAGGTTAGGTTGGATGGGGCCGCAAGCAGCCTGATCTAGTGGAAAGTGTTCCTGTTCATGGCAGGAGAGTTGAACCACATGATCTTAGAGGTCACTTCCAAGGCAAACAATTTTATGATTCTATGTATCAAAGTCCCTGCAGGATATACTGTAAACCACACTGTGCTGTGCATTTGGCTGTGGAAAAACTGAAATTTCATAGGTAATTCCATAGCTACCTTTTAAGTTATTGACAGTCTTGGTAATAATAAAAAAAAAAAAAAAACAAAACAAAACAAAAAACAACCCAAAAAAACCCAGTACAGTCTATGTCCAGGATACATAAACAAATGGGTTTTTGATAGGTATCTGCTGAATAAATAATGCTGTAGTGCAATTAGAAAGAAAGTGCTGTCTGAAAGAAAATACTGTATTTGGAGAAAAGCAAGCAGATGAGAGTTGCACTGCAGTAGTCTTATTCTCAGTGGTTGAAGTTTAATATAGCTGGACTCAGGATGCTAAAAAACTGGGCTTGACAGCCTTGTTTGAAGGACCTCCTTATTCTTCTTTTCTCTCAATAGACTAATGATACCATCAAAACTTTGTCTTGATTCACAAAACATTAAAAATTCTAGTTGAAAATATTGTAAATACATATATTTTCTTTTTGAATTTTTGTATGGCTATAAATCAAATAGTATAAAAGTTAATTTAATTAACAGCAGTTCTTAAAAAACATTTAATACAAGTAATCTTTTCCAGTGTTGTCTACCTTTGCACAGCTGTAAGTGCTGTGCTTTGTAGGTGGATAAGTTGGAGTTCATAACCATACTAGTGTGCACCGAAAGTTTTGATTATGTCAAAATATTATTTAATTTTTTGCAGGATCACTCAATGATACTTTGGTATTACAGAGAAAAACACTTTTGAAAATACATTCAAGTAGTAAATAGATACAATTTTCTTATATATTAGGAGCTACAATGTATGTATATATTAAGATTCACTTTGCTATATTCAGGTAGACACAGATGAAAGAAATTTATTAGCATGACCTCTCACATGCATTTAAAAATTCCACTGAGAACTTCAGTATCAGATTAGGAAATTAACTAGACAGGAAAATATATAGTAACTAGGAATAAAGTTCAAACATGCAAGTAGTAGGGCAGGATGAGCATTTAAAGTGTCAGAGCAAGATAGAAATGGATTATACATAATTTTACCAAAGCCCATTTTACAAGAGCTTCTCTCAAGGGTTCTTAGAATCTTCCACAGACATTAATATACTTTCTAATGCTTCTGTGTGTATATATATATATATATATATATATATATATATACATATGTATATATATATATATACATGTATATATATACATATATATATGTATACATGTATATATATATATGCATACCATATAATATATACTCACACCATATACATTATATATGTATACACACCATAAATCATGTATAAATAATGATACAGTGTTTTAGACGTAAGTTAAAGAAATAGATAAATACATTAAAAAAAATTAAGATGTGTGAAATCTGAGCATACAAAAAAGGTACATCCAGGGATAGTAACTACCCAGATGATGCAGCAGCTGGGAACTCAGAGTGCAAGACAATTTACCTTCCTAAAGCTGCTCACTTCAGAAAACACAGAGCAAATTCCTGTCCTACTGAAGCTGATGGCCACAATTTTGATTGACTTCAGAAGGTCCAAAACGTCATCCACAGTAGGTGTTTCATGCTGTTCTCGCATAAAGTTTGTCTGCCTTGCAGATTATATCAGTACAGCTATCTTATTCCAGTTACTTTTTTTTTCCTGAAAAGGATTCAGGTAGTTTCCAAAAGAGTGTTTAGGTTATGGCATTTTCTTGCTGTATCAGGGAAACATTTTATACAAAAACTCACCAGAAAAGCAACTTAACACACTGAAGTATTGAAACATCTGAATAGATATTGCAAACTATGTATTCATTGATAGAATATAGGATGGTTTGGGTTAAAAGATCATCTAGTCCAACCCTCTAGTCACTGTATTCACTGTCAACTGAATGTAATCTTGAACATCCAGTTTTTGTGAATGCTGGACAATTATACTGACAGCAATGATAAGCTGTCATAGCTTTTACAACACAATAGTACTAATCATACTTATCTTAAACCACTTTGTGTAGGGAACAATATTTACCCATGGAAGGATTCTGCAAGTTAAATTTCAGATACATGAAGCTGAAGATTAAATCGCAAGTTTGACAACAAGAAATAGAGAAAATACTAATGAAGATAATGGGTTTTCCGTTCTGAGGAAAGAGAAGATAAATGAGAGAATAACATTCAGTATTTGCAGCACAAGCCTGGTAATAGTTGTGGCCGTCTACTTTCAGCACATATACACCACATTTTATTTCTTTTCCTTTTGTCTTAAAAGTGTTTTTTCTTCCTTTCGGATGAAATTCAGATGAATTTAATAATTCTATATTCTTTAAATATATTGACACCCTATTCTGGGGCCTTTCTCAGAAAGGAGCTGCCTTTAATAAAAATCCTCTGCAAAAACTGAAATACCTTAATATGTTTACAGCACTCTTTCAGCCCTGTCCTTCAGGTTTGATGGCACCATGACACATTCAGAGATGTCCACATAACTGATGTTGAACTGTGGGGTTATCAGGTCCTAACTGAATTTTTTTTAGGTTGCATGGTTAATTTATGCATCACAATAATTTCTTTTATGTTGTAGATATGTGGTAATTGGCAAATTGGGAAAAATCACAAATCCTAGTAGGGGAGATTAATAACTGGTCACTCTGTACAGAGATAGAATTGCTTGTGGTGTGGCACACCTTTAGATCAGAACCCCACAAGCTGGGGCTCCAAGGCTGCCTGGAGGGACTTTCCCTCTCCAGCCCTCAACCCCTGGTGCACAGACCCTGATGGAGCCAGCAGGAGAGGGCAGTGGCTTCTGTACACCCTCAGCACCCTGATGTTTAGCAGCCTGCTGGAAACATGTGAACTGGGTGATTTGATGTGTTAAAGCCTTTTAGAAATACAGAAAAGGAGCATTTTGGTTTCCATCATGCCACATCATGCCTGCTTTCCCTGCAGAACAGGCTCCTAAATGATAAGCTATCATGTAGCTTTAAAGAACAAGAGCATACTAACATGCCCTGGAGAGCAAACGGGACGGAACTGAGTGTGGTAATGTACATAAAGGCATGAGAACTGTGTCAAAATCCTAGCTGTCACAGAAGTTGTAGGCCTCTGCGCAGGACAAGCAGTGCAGCTCCTCGCTGTCTTTGTCCTTAAGGGGGCAGCAGCACAATACATTGGAGCATCCCTCTGAGTTAGCTGGGAATCATCTGTGCCTTAGTCTATTTCGCTTCCCTTAAACTTCGTGTGTACTGCCCTGAGACTGTGTAGGTTGACTTTGTCCCAACTATGCAGTTGTAGCCGTTTGTCTGTTTTGGCAAGGGTTATAAGACTTTCCAGTTTATTAAAAAAAAAAAAAAAAAAAAAAAAAAAAGGAGGGGCCCTCATATTGTTATGGAAAAATGGAAAATACAATAGTGATATCTGAAAATAAGGATTTGAACAAAAACAGATCATTTTCATTTTAGACAAGGAACACGTTATGCAGAAGTAAGGTTAGAACATTCTAGGTTTTTCCCTGCTGGTTTTTAAAAAATGTATGTAAATACTTCAGGAGTAACATAAGTCAAACCAAAAAGTGTTGGGGTTTGAGTTTTTTAATATATATTTAATTTTAGCACCCTGCTAAAAGATGAGCCTCAGGTTTGTACTTGATTTAGCTTTTAACCCATGTAGCTGTTCAGTGCACAGGTGTAAGAATGCCCCACAGCCCAGCATCCCCACCCTGAAGCATCCTATGATGCCTCAGTGGGATTCGCAGTGCATTTAAACAGGATTGCTTGTTTCACTTCATTGATTTTAAGTTTAAGACTCTAAGAAGGAAACATTTGTTTAGGAACCATCACAGGAATAAACTCAGGATACACAGAAGTAGGGCTATGACTTTTTACGGAGTAATACTTTGGGAGACATAGGTCTATCAACACTATTTTAGGGATAACCTTTGTCTCTTCATGACAGTGAAATCTGTCAAGAATATATTTTCTTTGAAAAACAATCTCTAGCACTTACTATTTCCTTAGTAGACTTTTAAAAGTTTAACAAAATACTGTATAATTTTCAAGGCATCCCTCTGTGGCACACAGGATGCCTTGTTACTAGGTAGAGAAGCTTGGAGAATTTACTTAAGTATTGATCAGGATTTAGTATTTGATTAAATTCCACTGACTTCACAAGTTTTACTGTTTACTGGGATGTTTAGGAGCCTTTTTATATAGTACAAAATATGGACACATCAACTTTCTAGTGGATTTGCACACATAAAATTTATAGCGTCCTGCTGGGATTAGGTCACCTGATTACATCTGGCACCTCAGTACTATATTCCCTACATTCTATCTAACCAGCATAGAAATGAAAATCAGGATGCTGAAGAGACAAGATTCCCAAAAGTAAACCCAGTAGTTCATCAAAAGGTTGAACAGACAGTAATCCACTAGGTGCTCAGTGCTCTCTCAAAAGCTTTCTTACTGTCTTTATCATCTCTCTCAGATCTTGTAATCTACTTCAGGCTGTTCCCACGCAACATGAAAGAAGGAAATGAAAATCAATTTTTTTGTCAGAATAATTAATAACCAAGACTGATTGCTGGACTCTTAGTGAGTATATATTTTAAAACTCTGCATAGTTGTTTAAAGGTACTTTGAAAGATTTTTCTTTTTGACCTGGATGAATGTTACATTTAGTCAAAAGAAATTGCACTAGAAATATGGACTTTTGGGGAAGATATGCTTCCATAATACACCTTTTTGTATTTAATAGAGAGATAACAGTTAAGTTTCTATCATCTATGGGACACTGCCTTATTTTTCCTATTTCTTGGGATTTTTTTTTCTTTTGAGCCTACTCTTATGTTTACAATGTGAAATGTAAAATCCAGAGGATTACTCAGTTTTCAGTCCTCATTTTCCATTCATTCATGGTATATTCATGGACAGATAATATAAATTGCTTATGGCTTCAATTTCTTCATGAGTAAACCAGGAATATGTCTAATTCAGACATTCTGAAGATTTCTGAGTTGTCCAAGTAGGTTACCGGCTTGTATTTCAAGCCTGACATTTGCTGGTTATTGCATAAAAAAACTCTAATGTATTCCAATACGCAGTCTGCACAAAGGAACAGAGCTATCGAACAGCCAGTGGGAAATGCCACAATTGTAACGCTGCAGACTTGAAGATAACAGAACTAGGAAAGAGGTAACAACAGCCATCTTCTGCCCTGGGACAGGATCAATCCAGCTACAAACATCCTTAGAAGTCACCTGTCTACTTCTTTAAAAGTACTCTTTTGAAAGAACCACTGAGGCTGTTTCTTCCAGTGTTTAATGGTCCTTGCATGCAGAACACAGAGTTTTCTCCCTCCCTTCATTTCAAAACAAAGTCTCTGTTGCTCTAATGCATCTTTTTTTTTTCTTGTGTTGTGTCCTATTCCTAGCAGATGCACCAGACTTCTATCTATTTGAAGGCTGCTGCTATGTTTTCCCACAGACTCCTTTTGTTTAATTGTTTAAGTTCCTTCCTTAAAGGCTGAAGGGTTTTGAGCCTGCTTGTCTTTGATTCTCAGTCTGGATGATGTTCCTTCATCACTTCATTATCAAATTGGTCATTATCAAATTTTCTGGAATACAGGATCAAAAACTGGACATATTGCTCTAGTTATGATCTTACCATGACTGAGTACAGAAAAATTTAACCCACTGTAACATAACACAAAAATCAGTGTTTTCAAACTAACGTACAAGTTACATAATTAATTACAATCCTTACCATGTTAGGATTTTCAAGACCAGATTTTATCCTATTGCTATGATGAATAGAGACGTCATTTTTTCCTTTGACTATAAACCCTCTTTTTTAAGGAGTGTTTGATCTTCTGTTCAATACATATTTTCCTCTGTATATGTTCATTGCTGATTACAATGGCAATGATGTTTCTTGGGGCTGCAATAATGAAAAGCTAATATTAATGCTTATGAATCTAAAATACAAGAGCTTATTTTGAATATTAAACACATTTGATGTTTACTGTTCTGCTTCTAGAAGGTGTCTTGTAGTGGTCTGATGGAAGGATAAAAAAACAATGCTGCATTTTGATAAGAAGGAGGTGATGTAATGTATACTAAGCATCAAGAAAAGTCTATCATGCTGATAAAACTGTTTAAATATGTGTATCATGTTTCTATATATGTCTGTGAAGCAGGTCAGTGCAGCCTCTTCTGTTTTTAGGAAAACCGCATGCCTGCATTTAGCTACCTTCATGTTATTGACAAGGTTCAAAGCTGTGGAAGCAAGGACAAAGGAATATGAATTTGGGAAAAAAATTTGCAAAGAAAGAAGATGAATTATTTTTTATACAGCAACAGAATTCTGTATCTGAATTCCTTATTGAAAGTGAGTATCACCAAAGCTGCTGGCTTCCTCTCCCCTTTCCCTGTGTTTATAAATATAATGTCTTGCATGTTGGGTAATGTACTTTGTACAGCTTCTCATTGTACAGCTGTGAAAGACATGCAGAAAGAAAAGAGGAGGCAGGAGACGATACAGAAATTTTCTACATCTCTAAAGAGAGAAGAATACTGAAACAAAAGAAAAGGAAGAACAGTAAGAAGATACATATTTGCAAGACAAGTTGCATCAGTTTGTGGAACTTTGGGTTTTGAACACACAGAAACAGGTCAGATTGATGCTGAAACAGAGTAAAGAAGTAACTTCATATACCGCTTTTTTACTTTTACAATAAAATTATTCTAAACATAAGTCAAAAATTGATTAAAAACAATGATTCATGAACTAAGGGCAAAAAGGTAATCCTACTCTCAGTTAAACCAATGAGTATCTCGTCACTTCTTATCAATAAGATAAACATGATTTTAAGACCTTTTATGCTGGATCAAATATAGAAATTAGTTATCTAAGTATTGACATTTGTTGACTCTCAGATTGTACCCATGTATCTGAAGATGGAGATAAGATAATGTTTTTTAAATAAGTTGTGCCCTTGGCCATGGCTAAACTATGGCGTTTAAGATTTTATTTTCCAGAGTCTAACACGTATCTGCTACTTCCTAACATAATTTTGAAGTATATCCCAGCTTTATAACTTTCTTTCTGCCTATACTTTAATTTTCATAGGGAAAATATATAAGTGCACGTCCTGAGGTTGCCGTGGGGCACTTTCCTCTGGATTATAAAGTGTCTTACCTTTTGGGTAATGTTCTTTATACAGCATCTAACTGTGAAAGGCAGATACAGCAGAAAGAGAACAGGAAGTAGAAAACTACTTAGAAAACATAGAGGAGAGAGGGACACTTAGTCAGGAGGGTGGGTGGACCATGCACAGGGTTCATACAGTCATAGAAAATGATTACAGAACCAGTCCTCTTCCTATAGAGAGATTTTAGATATATAAAATCCTAATGTATGTGCAGTTCATGGAGATGAGTTTTATTTAAATATGATCTAGCAGGAAGAATAAAAGTAAGATGGATGAGAGAGGGAGATGTTGATCTCTTTTCCCTGTGATCCAGTAACAGGGTGTGTAGAAACAGTTCAAAGTTGAACTGGGGGAGGTTCCAGCTTGATGTTAGGAAGCATTTCTTTACTGAGAAGGTGGTCAAACACTGGAATGGTCTTCCTAGAGAGGTAACTAGCACCCCAAGCCTGTCAGTGTTTAAGTGTTTGGGCAATGTCCTTGAAAACATGCTTTAACTTTTGGCCAGTCCTGAAGTGGTCAGGCAGATGATCATTGCAAGTCACCTCCAGCTGAACTATTCTGTTCTGTTCTATTCTGTTCTGCTCTGTTCTATTCTATTCTATTCTAAAATTAACAGCTAATTTTTTCTACTGGTTTTCCATATAATTTTTCAGTAATCTAAAGTAATTAATAGGACATGTTTCTTTATATGGTATATCAATATATTCTAACAGTAAATTTCATCTCTCTGTGAGGTGCTGCCTTTTTGAGGTACAGGAGAGAGTGCTGGTTTTACTTTTGTTAAAAAACCCCGAGCACTTTCACTCACAGGTGAAACAATGAATACAGTACTTGATACACTGCTGCTTTATATCCATCTCTCTTTGGACTTCTCTTCTTTTGATGCGATTCCAGCTTAAGATATAAATGGTAAATCATGTTCACAAGTCATCTATGTTGTAATTGCAGACTTTGATAGAGTTATGTGAGAAACAATCTTGACCCATCATAAAAGCTTCATAAATAAATACACATTCTAAATTAAAAAACTATTCATAGCAGAGTCAGGTTTGGAATACATTTTCTTAAAAGAATGGCAAAATCATGTTTACTGATAATTCTTTGTCATCCACTTGCCATATTTTTTCCCACACAGAGATAAATTTGATTAGAAGTATTTTTCATGCCTTAGAGAGCTACATAGAGGCTGTTTCATAGAAAGCAAATTAAGTTACAATTTTTAACACTGTAGGCTGTATATCATTTAGAGTAATGTACAATGAAATGAAAAATAATGGTTGAGGTCTGGTCCCATTGCAGATAATGGCAAAACTCACATTATATTTGAGCAAAGTGGGATCTGTTTGTTTGAACAAATAGAGGAAGTCTCTATTCTGTCAATCCTTGACAGAACCTTATTCCTCTCTGTTAATTTGTTGTCAGATGTAGCATGTTTCAGGCCCAAATTTGGCTAATAAATAAGAAACCCTCATCACCAAAGCACTTGAAAGTATACTTTTAATGTTTTTCTAGAGTAGAGATGGATTACAGGATCAGCCTTTTGGAAATAAATAGCCTGAGTTTTCTCATTACAAATGCAAAAAGATTTCAAGTTGGAAAATGCAGAATCAAATATAACTCTATGTCTTTGTGGATTTATGGTTTTAGATAATAGACAAAACCAGGAAAGTGATTAATCAATACGAGTAAACAATTTTGTCAAGAGTAAAATTACGCACATAATTTATTTTCACTGAAAGAAAAAGACAATGTGCAACTTAGAGAAACAAAATGGAAGTGCTGCTGAAAAGGAATATAAAAAAGCTACAAAGTGGTAGTAATGTGTTCCATTTTAATGTGCAAATGGAAAGAAATATAGCTGAAAAGACAACTGTAATAAAAAAAATCACTGTGCTTTATTTCAGCTTGTTATCTTAAAAAAACTACACAACTTTAAAATGGTTAGTCATTTAAATTATTCCCTAAGAACAGGTTTAAAGCAATATGCTTTTGGTTTTCTGCTTCTTTAAAGATCACATTATTTGAATATTTTACTTCACTGAAAGGTTTGGCTTGCTTTATTGTAGTGCATTATGAAGGTTTTCTAAGCAAGATAATAATGTGGAATATTTAAACTAGCATACATTAAATGCAGCAGTATAGCTTCTGTCTTGAAAAGGATTATACTGTATGGAAAGTGATGCTACCGGCATCATAGATTATTTAATTACAATTCTTGTAATATACACCTTAATTTCTCATTTCCTTACATGGAGTTTTTTTCCTTTTACAGAATGCAACACAATTATGAATGAAAATGTTTGTTTCTATTGTGATCTCATTAAGAAAAACCACTGTCTTTTTCAATTTCCAATTTCAAGTGACTCATATTTAATAAAAAAACCTGTTTTGATGGATATTGCCTTAGAATATTCCTTTTTCTCCAGCAGAGCTGTTCAAACTACAATTCTTCTCCGCATGACATTTCAAACACCATGTATCATCAGTACTGAAGACCGAGTCTCAATGATGTTCATTCCTTGTCTCTGAAATATGAACCATCATATTTGTGTGTTGAAGGGGGGTTTATTTTTCTTGAAACTCCTAAGTTTTTATGTATTCATGTGAATAGTTCCATACAGAGCACATACAAATCAATAATTGTAGGAAATATCTGTAATTCAAACTCATACAAAATAATTTTTTAAAGCATGTAACACAAATAGAACTTCTATCAAAAGAAGACTTTTGAAATATTGTGGATTCAAATCTTATCTGTACTTATTTTATACAACTTAATCTGATACCTTAATTCATACAGAGCAGGACCTGATTCTAAGATTACTTCAATTAATGCCAGTGGTGCAGATTAGTTTTGTACTAAGTTTACTAAAGGATGTAATGTTAGCACATTATTCTTCTGTCCATTCAGTCAACTAAGAGAAATATGTTTCACCACCATGTTTAAACAGGATTGTTTAGTAGAATAAGGCCTAAGGGATATTGACTCTAAGTTAATTAGAATTTGATTTAATGGATTTACAGGACTTCAAATTAATTGTTTAAGCAGGTGCAAGGCTCCTTGCAGGAGTCTTACTTATACTGGACTTTATAGGCAATATATAGAATATAAAAAGTAACTTCAGATATCTGTCATCTTCAAGCCTATAGCATCAGTGTTCACTCACTCCTTTATGGAACAAGGAAATATACATTAAAAGCAATGGGAAATTACCTAGCATGAAGGTGGAACATACTTGATTGAATAGATTTGCTCTATTTTCTAAAGTCTAAGTTTATATAGTCCTGTCAGACACAGCTTTTAAATGATCAATCTTTATTTCAAGGTTTTGTATATTTTAAGAAATTACTTACAATATTAGTGTTTGGTGTTTTTTTGTAATATAGGGGCCAGAATACTAAATTTCAGTATTCATAGTGTAAATATGCCATTCTGGTTATAATAAATTAATCTTTTTTGCTAGCTAGTGCTGGCTGCATGAAGGAGGTGAGACCCTTGCATTCTTCTTAAAGCACTTTTGTCAATAAAATTAATCAATATCTCTGATTAAGTCTTTTACAGTCACTCTACCTCCAGTGGCTTATTTTTTTAAACAATTTCTGCTCTGATATTCAGACTTCTAAACAAACTAAATAAAGATACAGAAGGCCAAAGAGCAATTCATAACTCTTTGGCCTCATTTTGCAAAGAAAGGAAAATATAGTGGGATGCAAGACAAAAGAAATAAGTTAAGCCAAGGAATAGGTAATGCAAAGATTATTCTATCAAATTATATGTAATACAAATGCAGAGGACTTGGACAACAGTTTATATTGAAAAGCCCCTGAATATACATGATTACTCTCTTTTGTTCCAAACTGTGAATATGAAAATCAAGATTATGGGATTTATCAGATTTTATTTTCTTCTGTTAAATCTGCAAGAACTGTTTTATTACATGCTAATTTTCTTTTCTTGCCTGTGGTAAAATTGTATAGACTCTAAACTGTTAAGAGAACTTCTTTATTTCCAGAAATGCAGTGAATCCTCAATAAAGTCACCAGGATGGGAACAAAGACCCTCTCAGAAGCTGCTGTAGTGTGGTCACCACAGCTCACTTACTGTCCCACATAGGAAATCTGCTCAGTGGTTCTCAGCAACTCCAATCTTCTCTCTTTTTGAGAAGTCTTCTAAATCTGATTAATGATTTTAATGTCTATTTGTTAAAGTCTACTTGGTTAATGCACAGAACTGGCCCTGAAGAACAGGATGAAAAGAATCTGATTTATAGTTATTGATCACTTCCATAAAAAGTCTTTCTGTTCTTCTAAAGCCAAGCAGGGACATAGATTGAGGGACAAGATGAATTTATTGCCTGGAGCTCTTTGAGCTCCAGGTAGTCATATACACAACTATTTGTAGGCTTAAGCCCCGTTGCAGCTAGTTATAAATACTTAGCTGAGTGGTCTAAGTGAATGCAGTCTGATTTCTAATGTGTTTGTATATTAGTTCCTTAATGTAAAGGTGGGACTTGATCCTGAAAATGGTTGTGCATTGTACATCTTGATTCTGTATGATGCAAATGGCTTTGTTGTCATGATGAAACTGTTATAGGCAGTAAACAAGTTTGCAAAGTTTTGTCAAATTAATGCCCAAGTTGCTAGAACCAAAAACCATTACAGGAAAAGTCAAATCAAATATGCAAACTGAAAATTGCTAGGTTACTTAGTAGTAGTTTTACATATTCTCTGCTTTCAGTAAACGTAGACAATTCTTTAAACAAGATTAATGAAGATAGTTTCTTTATCAATATAGGCTTTTCTTTCCTTTGGATAGTGTTATTCACACCAAGGAAAAACAAGTATTTCTCGGATATCTGCGTTCTTACTATTATGTGGTTAATAACTGCTGGTGAAAAATCATCTCCAGTGGTGCTTCAGAAATAAAATAAGATTATCATAATCTGCAAAATCAGTGTATCTTTTTATTTAGCTGACCCTGAAGATGACGATTGAAGACTTGATGTGTATGGTACTTCCTCCTTTATTTAATTTCTTTTGCAGCATTGCAGAAGTATGTGTAAGTAGTTCCTTTCAGTGAATTCCTCTTCAGTGGAGATGTACCTGATACTAACATTATAACTTTCAACGGAGATACTTTTTAGACATCCCACAGTTTCTAGTTCATCAGTAGCCTTCTGCCTCTGCCACTGGTCTCCTTATTCAAATGAATGAGAGATGAAAGCAAAGCAAGTGAGTTTGTTTTCTGTTATTTAGTTGTTTTCTTTCTAGTAAAATAAAACCACAGAAGTCAGCTTTCTGACCAAAAAAAAGGAAAAGGAAAAGGAAAAGGAAAAGGAAAAGGAAAAGGAAAAGGAAAAGGAAAAGGAAAAGGAAAAGGAAAAGGAAAAGGAAAAGGAAAAGGAAAAGGAAAAGGAAAAGGAAAAGGAAATAAAAGAAAGAAAAGAAAATAAAAGAAGAAAAGAAAAGAAAAGAAAAGAAAAGAAAAGAAAAGAAAAGAAAAGAAAAGAAAAGAAAAGAAAAGAAAAGAAAAGAAAAGAAAAGAAAAGAAAAGAAAAGAAAAGAAAAGAAAAGAAAAGAAAAGAAAAGAAGAGAAAAAAGAAAGATATAGGACTCACGCTTTTTAATCACCAGGAAGTTTTAAGTTCGTGTGTGAGATTTCATTGATCTCAATAAATAGACTGATCTGTAAGTGTTTGTCTCTTACTTAAATGCCACCACTGTGTGCAGACAGGCTATTGCTGTATCTTTTGTTCTTCCTTCTCCTGTTCCAACCATTCAGTGTCCCCCAGGCTGTGGTGATTTCCAGGAGTTACAAAGCTTGGGTCACACTGCTGTGATTTGATGGCCAGCTCTTCAGCCTGCTTTGCAACAGCCACACAGTATCCAGAAACCCATGCTTGGTCTGTTTGCTGGTTTAGAGATACTTTAGAAATAAGAATATACTGGTCAATGCAGTGTCATTGTTTACAAGCTGACTGGAAAACAGCCATTTTTTAAATATAGGTTTGATTTAATCAGCCAGCCACCAAGAGAAATGCTTTTTGGCTAGTGCCTTTGTTTCCTTAAAATGCAGAATAAGGAATGCCTTAAAATATACTGCTTTATTACTGTACGCCATATATATTTCATTTTCCTTGTAAAAAGTGCCTATCCCTGCTGAAAAAAAAAAAAAAAAAAAAGAAATCCATAGGGTGGTTTTGAGGGGCAGGTACTTGGTAGGGAATGCAGCTGGGTGTGAGTGAGGGCAGGAGCCACAGGTGCACTCCTGGTGAGGGCATCTGCCAGTCTCAGGCGAGCAAAGGCTTTCCACTGCGAACCGAAACCAGTGCAAACCAGGAAACAAAAAGAAATATTCATTCAAGCTGTCCACGTCAGACTGCTGAGGAGTAGGTAGGTCAGTTTGGTTAATCATTGCCAATTCAGACATTCACCAGTGATCATATGACCAGACCACATCTGAGATAAGAAAACACCCATTCCGAGCAGAAGGAATTGAAAGCCTCCCTTATTTACGTTTTCTGGCTTTATTGTTTTGCTGTAACAGAAGAGGCTCACACTTTGCTGTTGTTCTCAGAGCTCAGCCCAGCACAGCTGTTGTGTTGCTTTCCTTTTTCTGAAGAGGAAGTGAAAAATTCTCTCCATACATATGCTGGCACTTGAATGCTTAGGTTTCACTCCCTAATTGGGAGTTATCTGTAATGAGCTCTCCGTGGGACCCGGAGAGGAGCTTCCAGCTGTGCCAAGAGTTATTTCATTTTGTGCCAAAGGAGAAGGGGGAGAAGAAGTCTGCAAAAAGCTAAGATGTGGATGGTGCAAAAATTGGTCTAAGGGTCTTGCAACCAGGAAAAGCAAAAGAAAAGCAGAAGCAGAGGGACCAACAAAGAATCAGGATGGGAAACTTCTTCCGGAAGCACTGTCCCTGTTTGAAGCGTTACCTTCCCTGCTTATTCTTTGGGAGAAATGGTGAGGAGGAAGACAAAGGAGGCCAGGTCTTCGCCAACCTTGCTGTGATAAAACCTGACCTCCAAGCAGGACAGAAGGACTTAGAGAGTAAGATAAAAGAGAAACCTTTACCTCCACTGCCTGGCCAGGATCTAGCAAACATTTGCAACTTTGTGGCACTGTTTGACTATGATGCTCGCACTGAGGATGACTTGAGCTTCCGAGCTGGGGATAAGCTGGAAGTGCTGAGTGCATCCCATGAGGGATGGTGGTACGCGAAGCTCCTCCTGCCAGAGGGGTCAGCCTGTCCTGGCCGCAAGCTCACAGGCTACATCCCTGCCAACTACATAGCTGCTGACCAGAGCATTGAAGCTGAGCCGTGAGTAACCCATACTGTGTGAAATGAGACTCTTTTCTGTTATGTTAAATGGGTTTGAGACAGGAGGTCACGGCCTTTTCTCTTGCTGGGTATTACCCTGCCACACTCAACCTCGGGTGGTCCTAGAGGTGGTAGTGCTGGTTGGCATGTGCAAGGAAAAGACACCGTGGTCAGAGGAAAATAAATTTCCAAAGGCAGAGTGTGGAAGGGTTTTATATTGTTTTAAATAATTTCCTTTGGTTATATACACTAATCAGTTGCTTAAAAATCACCTGGGAAGATCATGTTGGTTACTGCTGTGATGGTTCATTAATTTTATTTGTATAAGAGTAAGTGTGTATCAGACAATACACAAAGAGTAGAAATATATGACCCCTGCCCTGAATAACCAGCTGCAAAGTTACTAGTTAATCAGTTAAACCAAGCTACCTTTACACCTTTTTATCTTCTTCCAAATGATGGGTGAGTCCCTAACAGATAAGTTTCAAATGGTTTCCTCTAGACTACGTGCATCTTCTCTGGAGGCAAATCTCTGATTTCAGGACAAAATTAGCTACAACGAGTACTGCAAAGTGAAAAAGTGGATATTACAACAGAGAACAGATGAAGTTATTAAATTTCACTGAGTTTAATTATCCATCCCATCTTTTGCCCCTTCAAAGCATGCCAGATCTTATTAAATATTCTGAAATAGATCAGAAATCACACAGAATCAGTTACTTGGCTCCCTGCTAATGATGAGGAATGTCTGAATCAGGCTGGGCTGCACAGTTACTTCTGTGTTTTGAAGACGGAGTCAATGTTTGCTGAAATAGGTCTGACTGCAGTTCCAGAGGTATATTTTGGAAAAAAATATCACTGTGTAAAGAAATGCCATCAGCGACATTCATTATTAGTCTCAGAATTAATGTTGACTTTAGAGGGATGGTGATGCAGCCTTTCAGTTAAATCTCATTTGAACCTGAAACATCATCTTCGACCTGATCTGCCCACTGGACTGCCACAGGCTGGGAAAATTGGCTCAGATATGATTATGCCAAGTCTTTTATCAGCTGTAGGATTTTTGCTAGAGGCATTTTATGGCAACTCTAAGATTAATCTCTAACCTGAAGACCTTAATTTCCAGAGTTTCACCAGCTGTTTCTATTTCTGTATTCAGGCAGACAACATTTTCAATGGTCATGTTCAAAAAAATTCTTCCAACTGGAGAAATTAATCTGCAGGGAAGGCATTTTATGAATCACTAGATAAATGGTGTTAGGCTCTAATTTAGCTCAGGTTGACCTTTGCTCTCTTTCAAGAGCTAGTTTTCTTAGAAGTCATCAGATTTCTTCATGCTGTTAATACTTTGAAAGTAATTTTTCTCAGTTATACAACATCTCAGTTCCTAATGTCCTTATATCTAGAGCTTCAAATACAAAGTTAAGTTTGCCAAAGTGCCTTGTTGTGTAACCTCTGATTATTTTACTTGTTACTTGTTAAACAATTCTATTTTTTTTTTGCTTTTTTTTTTAATATACCTTTCTCCCTTTATAGTAAAGACTAAGTTACAAGAAAACATTTTTCTCTATGGATTGTTAGAACACTGGAGAGGAAACAATGGAGAGTTTTTCCAATTCAAGGATGAAGTAATTTCTCCAAAATGAGCTTTTTATTTCACAGCAAGATTAACGTGGCTTAAACATGTTGTCTTTTCTCAGATTTCTTTCTAAGTCACTTGGCTTTAGTGGTCTTCACATATGTGCAAACCTGTCAACCCACACACGTATAAGAATAGACTAACTGAGGTTAGAAGGGATCTCTGCAGGACATTTGAAGAGTCATCCCAACTCAAACATGGCCAAAATAGAGCTAGTCCTCTTTACTTTGTTGTGTATTTCCAGTTGAGCTGTTCATCCTCAAGGTGAGGATTTTTATCGCCTTGTATCAAATTGGAAGATCCCTTGCTACAATTTCCTCAAGAATGCCCTTTCACCCACGCTCTGTAGTTTACACCTCTGTTATCCTAGTGAAAGAGTAAGAACAAGAGTAATGATGGTTTAAAGAATACCCTTTGTTTTCCCTAAAGTAAAGATTGCAATTAGAAAAAAGGTTGTTCTAGTGTCTCTTTAATTAAAATTCAAAGATTAAATAATTCTGTCTACGCCAACCTAAGTTTATCTTCTCTCATCTCTCTATTTTGGTTTTAATTCCCTTTGGTGTTGGTGAATTTTTCATGGCCATGATATAGGCATTTATGGTAATGTGCAAAGTTTCTATTCTATTCTATTCATTGCATCCTATTTGGCAGTCCTTTATGGTCCCAGCACAGAACTGACAAAGAATGGAAGACTTACAATCTTGTGCTCACCTACCAAAATGCACATTTACCATATATTTGCAGTATGTTTTTTATGCTTGCAATATTTTCCAGGCACAGTTGATCAACAGTCTTTGACTTAATTGAATGCACATTTTGTAGCACCAGCCAGCTTCTGTACATCTGCAGAAACAACAGGAATTTTATTTCTGGATTGCATCTCCATCTAATTAGACAAAGAAACACTGGTGATTCTTTTCTGAGAAACAGACTTAATTCATTGTGTGACTCTTAGGAAGCTTGAGAAGAAAACCAGACTGATCACATTCTGTAGCAGATGATTTTAGCATGCTTGTGTAGAAACTATTTTAAAAATTGCATTCATATGCATGCATGGCTACTCCATAAAGTCACTGAAACAAAGGAATAGTGCAGCATGAAAGGTTCTACAGTGAGAAATGACAGGGCAACTCTTTAAGTTTAGCCAATAAATGCTTGAGAGCTGCTTGCAGAGTAGTCAAATTTCTTTTGTTTATCATTTCAGTTTTGTCTGTGACCTTCAAGAGTATTAACAAGCAAATAAATATATCTGGCCCTCTTTTATCAACATATTAACATGGTCTTATAAAGACAGAGATCAGATAGTCTACCTGGCACTGTATTGTCAGTTCTGGCAGAGAATAATGCTGGGTCATTGCTTGTTCTCAACAAGTGCTGCAGCAGACCAGTTTGTCTCCTTGCTGAAGTGTCTGTGAATTTTTATCAGAGAACAGGGCATGCCTTTTTTTTTTTTTTTTTTTTTTTTTTTTTTTAACTTTTCCTTGGTAAGAAAGAGAATGAAGTAAAGCAAGAAGGAAAGTAAGAAACTTCTTTAGATAACTTCTTTTTTCTTCTTGGGTGTTTCTGACTGTCCAATATGACTGAGGTAGAGCTGATAAGGTGGATCAATGTCTGGGGGAAAGGGCAGAAAGGATTTGCAATATTTCATCTGGGAAAAACAAAAAAATAAACACTATTCATAGCAAAGGCAATTTTCATGTATCATTTGCTATCAGAACTGAGAAAGAATGAAATTTCTTTACAGTGTTGCTCTTCTTTGACCAAAGGTTATTCACTAGAAATTGTATGCTACAACTGAAGGGGGCATTTTTTATATTTTGCTAGTATATTTATATTATAAAATAGAACTAAATAATATCAAAAGTCAAACACTTCTTATATGTTCTTCTTATATGTTCTTATTATTTCTTGCTAAAAAAAAAAAAATCACTTTGCGTCCTTCCTTTGGCTTAAGTGATCTCTTTGTAAATGGATGACTTGGATTAAATTAGTAGCAATCTGTGTGAATAGGGGGAAAATTGGTAAATCCATGGATTGACTTCTGTCTGCTGCAACATTTCAGTCCAAACATGTGCTGCACAAGATGAAATGCATCCAAGAAGTGTACACCTGCTACAATGAATTCTGTTTTGGACAGACTGAAGAAACAAGGCCTTTCATTTTTATATTTACCAGTAAATCATCTTCTCATTGCCGATCTCTTCAAGCACCTGCTGTACTTCTTATACCAAAAACAACCTGTCAGGCAGAGATCATGAAGGAATTGTGTTCAGTATCTCTGAAGACAGGTGTGTTCTCCTGGCCCCACCTGGGGTAGGTGGGACAAGGAAATTGAGGAGTGGAAGCATTAATCTGGCAAACCATCGTCATACAGTGAACTTTCTCTTCATGAGGAGATAAATCTGGTACCATGAAAACATTATTTTATATTATATCTGACCAAAAGCAGACACAAACTATGCTAATGATAATTTAACAACTGTGAGAGTACTTGGTGCTTCTTTCTGCGTCACAGGTAGCAGTCAAAACCATAAGCCAGACAGATTTTTCATTTCTAAAGTAGTTTGAATGAGGTTATATCTGCTGCATCCCATGAATTTGGAATGCTCTTCTTTCTGTGTTTTGCCATATAACACTTGGAAAACAAAAAATGTTATTGGAGATGGAATCATATAATTTAATTTTTCCATCCTACAAAGAACGATCAGAAAGAACAACTTGACAAATAACAAAATCTGAATTAAAAGATAGATCTTCTTGGCAAAGAGTGAAACCTTCCTGTCTCTGTGCTCTTTTTCTGTGTCTGTTATTCTGCACTACAAACAGGAGCCATAGTAACATTTTCACCTGCTCTTGTTTCATTACTGCCAGTTGTTTAAACTATACAAGAAAATGACATAGTGCAAATTGTTCTGGACAAAAAATATAGCTCAGCTCAACAGTCAATTTTAATGAAGCAAAAATAAAGAAAACACCTTACTGCTGGAGTGATGTGCATTCTAGTTTTGATAGAGGAAAGATAGATTATACTTAGAGGGGGCTCTTGCCTGCCATCCTGAGGGACCTGTTGTCTGTTTATTGAAAGACAACTTACAATCATAAAATCATAGAATCACTGAGGTTGAAAAAGACCTCTAAGATAATTGAGTCTGACCATTAGCCCAGCACCACTGTGTTTGCCACTGGCCCCAAGAGCCACATCCACATGCCTTTTGAACACTTCCAGGCATGGTGATTCCACCAGTTCCATGTAAGCTTGTTCCAGTGCTTGTCAATTCTTTTAATGAAGAAATTTTTAAAATAACCAATCCCCTTCCTTGGCACAACTTTTCCTCTCTTCTTGTCATTTGTTATCTGGAGG